AAATGCCAAGTGGCTAGTAGGATTTAACTATGGTTGGCGCGTGGGGTTGATCTGCTGTACATGGTTTACAAGTGGAGATTTTATCGTTAATTGAGGGTTATGACGGATGACGCCCTAGCTATGCAACATGCGAGGCGTCTAGCTATGATTTGGCCCGTGGGGGTTTAATACCTCTTACATCGAGGATGGAAGTTGGCCTCGCGGGACCTCTAACCCTATGGCAGAAGGTGCCTGGGAGGAGAATTACTTAAGTGGGCATGTTGATGTTTCTTATACTGGTTGCTGCAACCGAGATAACTTACCTGAGTGGCCAACGTTTGCCTGGCAGTCCTGTAGTAGTTTGATTACTGTTAGGGAGGATGGCCTAAACCCGGTGCTGGATGACAGAATGGAAGGCATAAGGTACATATAAGTGTGTACTGCTATCTTGTAGCTGAAGCCTGCCCCCCCACGTTTTGTGGTGAATGTCCTAGGACCACATACCTATGGTTGTAGGTTGAGTGCAAGTAGGTTCTGAAGGCCAAGTCCGTCTTAGTTTGGTTCTTGAGACTGTAAACACATGTTAAACCGTTATGGCAGTGTCCCAAATATCTGCTTGGCACAAAGTGCACTCGGCATACATTTGTGAGCATATGCACTGAGTGTCATATGTCTGATTAATGGGACATACGTCGCCCATATGTTGTACATACCAAGGAAGTAATATAATACTTGACTTTGTCTTGGTCTCTGACCCTGCCAGGGGAATCAGTATACCAGGTCACCAAATAAAGGGAAAATATTCTTGAACTTTGCAATTTGTCTATAACCACGCAAGTAATTCTGAAGATTTAATTGAAACCGTGGTGTGAGTATATGGTATATATTCTTGAGTCACATAGATCCACATATTAGGTAGATTAGTCACATAATTACCTCACAATTTAGTGCCCGAGAACAGCTTATATCTGACTTATATGCTTTAAACAGTTGTTTCCACAAATCTATACGTAACCGGTTGTGCATGAATTAATTGAATACTTTATTATTCCTAACGTAATATATAAATCTGACCATTTTTTAATATTGCCATTGTTAACACATATCACAGACTTTGACATATACCAGGTAACATTACTATTTATAGGGCGACATCTAGTGGTTACAACTTGTATTGCCGTCAGCATTGCTGTAATTTTTTGACATGCTTTCTGGCTGAGGCTGTGAAGGGAGCTCTGCCTGTGTGAGTGAACCCCTGTCTGTAGGTAAGTAAGAGAGGAGGGGGGAGGGGGGGGGAGGAGAGATTTGTAAGCTGCTGATACCCCAAAGGGTATCAAGGAGCCTTGCAAAATATAGTAACTTCTAATTTAAAAATGTATTTTTTATTTTTTATTTTTTTTCAATAGTTTATGTGACAGGGCACTTGTAGGTTGGGGTGGGGGGCGGGTTGGTGCGGCTATTGTGGCAGAAATCGCGGACCCCCGTGAATTAGGTCCGTGGGGGTCTTGATTGTATTAGCCGCCTGACCGTTACCTGCCATGAGCCTGGGGGGGTTCCCCACTCCTGGAGAGAGGGGGAGAGGAGTTAGTAGCCGGGTCCTACGGCTGCTGTGGAGTGAGGGGGGGGGGTTAGGACCCGGGTGACACATAAACCGGCTGTTGTGTAGTGAGAGGGGGGGTTAGGAGCTGGGTTACAGAATAACTTGAACCGGCTGCTGTGCAGTGAGCGGCAGCAGGGGGGGAGGGGAAGGGAGGGCTGGTCTGCATGAGGCCTGATCTCCCGGCGGGAATCAAGCCGAATCAGCCCTGGCGAGGGGGTTTCTGTCCCCCACAATACTGTAGCCGTGGACCTCGGCGGGTCAGGCTATGTGTAGGCTGCAGACCAGTACAATGATACCGGTCTGCCAACTCACTGTTTAGTAGGGAAACCGGCAGTAGGAGCAACAGAAACTTTGAAAATGCAGCTGTCAGGAGAAACTGAAAACCACGTTGGGAACCAGCAATTCAAACGAGCATCTGGACCAGACGGTGAATGAGGTAGGAGGGGGAGTCCCTTTTAAAGGGATATAGCCCCTCCCACAACTTCAGGCCCTGCCTTCCAATATATATATATATATATAAAACATCCAATATTTATAACGGGTGCACTCACAGGACTTGAAACATTTTCAAATGGTGATTTTAATCCAAAAGGTGAAGAACAATTACATCTGTAAATTGACTGAAGTTTTAACCCCTGAGGGTTTATATATATATATAACTATAAACACACACACACATACAGTATCTTACAAAAGTGAGTACACCCCTCACATTTTTGTAAATATTTTATTATATCTTTTTATGTGACAGCACTGAAGAAATGGCACTCTGCTACAATGTAAAGTAGTAAGTGGGACAGTCTAAGTACCCAAAACCTCTACTTAATTCATAGTACCCGACAGGGCATATTACACATAAAAAGTCCTCCCCCCCTCCTCTCCCCCTCCTCCCCCCCCCCTTGGTGTGGTTTAGCTATTTCTTTTTCTAAATTCTCAATAATAATTATTTTCAAAACATTGTATACTTTGCTGTCCTGGCACACTCAGAGCATAACATGCAAATGAAAGGGACACTTTAGTCACCAGAACAACTACCGCATATTGTATTTGTTCTGCTGAGTAGAATCATTACCTTCAGGCTTTTTGCAGTAAACACAGTCTTTTCAGAGGAAATACAGTGTTTACATTACAGCCTAGTGATAACTCCACTGGCCACTCCTCAGATGGCTGCCAGAGGTGCTTCCTGGGGCAGAGCTGCACATTGTGCAGTACTGCCATTTAATGTACCCACCCTCATCATGCAGACACTGAACTTGCCTCATACAGATGCATTGATTTAAGTAATCTCTATGACGAGATGCTGATTAGCCAGGGCTATGTTTGACTTGTGCTGGCCCTGCCCCTGATCTGCCTCCTTGACAGTCTCAGCCAATTCTATGGTGAAGCATTGTGATTGGCTCGAACCACCACTTCCTATTATGTCAGCAGACAGCAGGCAGATCCAGGGCAGAGACAGCAGCTGCAGACTTAATTTCAAGTAAGATTTTACTATATTTAGGGAAGCAATGGGGGAGGGGGCAGGTGGACTAGATGGTGGTTTTAACACTATAGGGTTAGGAATACATAAGTGAGTTTTTAGTACCATGGGGCAATGACATGTTTTTAACTTGCCTACACTGGAATATTCATACTGATACTTATTTCCATGCCATTTACTGAGGTGATTGAATAAAGAAATGTCACTTGCAATTATATAAAGAAAATTAATACTTACCAAAATCGCAATTAGCATAATTGGAAATTAACTAACTAGGACACGGGTAGGCAACCTTCGGCACTCCAGATGTTGTGGACTACATCTCCCATAATGCTCTTACACCCATAATGCTGGCAAAGCATCTTGGGAGGTGTAGTTCAAAACATCTGCAGTGCCAAAGGTTGCCTATGCCTGTACTAGGATCTACCTTTGAGATTGTTGCATGACCAAGGATGTCATCTGGTGATGTTGGTTCCTCAATCCATAAAGGTTTAAATGAAGCCAACTCAGACACACATTGGACTGCTTCATTCACATCCCATCTCTGGTTTGCATCAAGCATCTAAAATAGAGCGAGTACTTATAAAGTCTAATACTTCATAAAAAAAATAACATGTGTGTTTAGTTCTACTATGATTAGTTCTAAATTGATAGTAGCTGGATACATGATTACATATGACAATTATTAATTTTGGTTATTTAATAAATAGTATTAATTAACTTTCTATGTGATTGATTACTATATTCAGAAGGGTAAATAAACAGCTTGAAAACTATGAAGGATACTGCGTTTAGCAGATTTCAGTAGGGTGTGAAACTTAGCATTTTGAGATTGGTAGCTAAAACAGAAATACCAGTGCATATACCTTTTCCTCCACAGATGTAGAATATGCAACAGCAAAATGGAAAAAAGGCCAATTACACCAAATAGCACAATCCAATGGGCATCTACATCACACCCAAGCAAAAAGGAAGAATGCTAAGGCCAACCATCTCTCATCCTGTTCATTTAGTTTTTTTGACTTACAAAGCATCGTTTAAAACAGATGGAACAGAAAACATTTAATCACCATTGACAGTCTGAGAGAGAGACATTTTTGATCTTGTTACATTCATATTTACCATTTGGTTGTCAGGACCAATCATGCTTCTGATGAGCTTACATCTTCTCTTGTCGTCTTCTAAATCTGCTCCAACTTTTACTTTGAACCTGAGAAATTCAGTTGAATGAACCATAAAATTAGATGAAAAAGAATGAGTTAAAAATATATTTTTGTGTCATCATCCAAAAAGTGCAACAGTCAGTGAGGCTACTAAGACAAGCAGTGTTTCAGTGTCACACTGCATTGCTGTACACCAGTGTTTCTTAATCTTTTACGGAGAAGTACCATTTTTTTTCCAATGTAGGCTGTGCGAGTTACAGCCAGAGGAGGTGTGGCTAGGACTGCGTAAACAGAAACAAAAGTGATTTAATTCCTAAATGGTAGAGAATTGAGCTGTGAGACTGCAGAAGCATGGTATTTGCACTAAAATTGCTTCATTAAGCAATGAAGTAGTTTTTGTGCTTAGAGTGTTCCTTTTAAACATTGATAAAATTAATATAATAGAGGGTTTTATGGGTGTTTGGATGGCTCCTATCTACTTATAGTATAAATAAATTTACTTTTCAAGGTAGCTTGCTGTGATAACCTAAATAATCTTTTATGTAAGACACCATATTTATGGCAGAAAAAATACCATATTTAGTCGAATCTATGCGCACCTTTTCTGGAAAACAAAGTTTCCAAAATTTGAATGTGCATTAG